TTGTAAGCAATGCTAGGTAAACAGGCAATGGAGTGTTACAATCATATTTGTTCGCCGAAATCAGTAAGGTATGATTTTATTGTTCCCCCTTTTATGGCTTCGAGGGAAGTGCCCATTAATATTCTTGTTTTATGATCAGACTGATTTGTAAGTAACTTAAATAGTTTACGTAGGTATGGGTACAAGGACCATGGAAATTAACGTTTTCAAATACTAGTTTTAGCTCCGCACTTTGTTTAGTATTTAAGTGAGTTTTATTTTTATTGCAAGTTTGCCAGACTCGTAGATGTAAGATGACCTTTGTATGAGGTTCTGTGAAGTTCACTCCTACATTGAGCCGATAGTGAATGAAGATTTAAGCTATAGCTTGTGTTATTGAGTTCAGTTCAATGCACGTGGATTATAAGGATTTACAAGACTGTAATAATATCGTCTCTATAACTTAAGTAGGTGGGATAATAGAGGCTGCCAATGTGTTTAACCTTTTAAGGTTACAATTTCTGTTACTATACGTTCCTATCTACACGTTGAGTAGCTGGGTCGACAGCTGTTGTGCAACGTGTCCCGAGTTCGATTCTCGCGTCGGGCAACATGGTTTTGTCTTAATAAGTTGACTATTGCTTGTCCGAAGTTAGTCGGAGGTGTTTGTAAATCAGTTTGGTCTGCGTCTCCTGGTCTGCCACAATATCGGGTTGAGTGTGAGGGAACAGAGACTGCACTTGTGTTAGCGCATACACTTGTGCAATATAATATCTCTCGTTTAATTAGTCAGACTGGCTACCAAAACTCAAAATCAATCGGGCGTCTTACCCCATTTATGACATTAATTCAGTTTGTAATTTTTTTATAGAAATATAAAGTGCGGTGTACCCATTTTCGGTAAATCATTTTCCTTGATGTTTTTCTTAAAAACACAAATGTCTTTACAAAAAAAGCAGTTAGTATCAAATTAAGAAATCGAACAGACGATCTCACTATTTGAGGAAGGTATTTCGTCAAATTAAAGTTATCAACAATACAATTCGGACGAGTGGCTACACCACAGAACAAGGTACAATATAACAAACGCACTAGCCCACGCGGTTTACTCAAGGATTATTAGATAAGGAATGTAAGAGGATCAAAGAAAGATCAACCCTTGAATTTGAACTCTTTATATTCCTCAGAAAAAAACCTACCTACGTCTAAGTAGTACGTATTTTCAAAGTATTTTCCTGTCTATTATGATATGTTGACATAGATTATGTACCTATATAGTTTAGTTGCTAAGCTGTGAGAATAGTTGTTGCCTACGAGGATTTGTATTCTTCTCCAAATTGAATGAGAGCCTGGGCTATCTGTCTGTAAAATAAACTTTGAAATTATACCAATCTATAATATACCTTATGCATTATAGTGCCATAATATTACATAAAGAATAACAAACTGGAAAGTTACTCTGAAAACACAACAATTTGCACTTAAACAAACTTTATGAAAGTATTCACGTACCTATATTACTAATACAATTTACATGCAATTTCCCTGAAAGAAGCTGTATACGTTATAAATGTTTCATGACATGTTAAAATAAAACATCTCTAAGATTTTATAATGTGGAAAAACAATATCTACAAGATATGAGTTTCTAAGTTTCTCTAAACACGGACTGTGAATAGGAAAAATTTTACATATTCTTCTATTGCGTGCGAGTTCATTCATCTGTTAAGCAAGATAAACTACTCGATAGACTTATGTGTATAAAAGTTAACTTTATTCTACGCCATATAAAGTTCAATTTATAAAAGACTTTGATTTTAGTGTAAAAGTGTTAGTAGTTTTATTTTCATTGTGTTCTAATGTTCGTTTTCTGTAGGTCACACAGTGTCCCTTATTAATAGGACCTCCTAGAACCAAATACTCAAAGAATAAGTATTTAAATTTGTATTGCTCGTGAAGAAAATTTATGAATGAAGAATTCTTGTACAGGATGAATAGAATTAAAAAATGGTTTTGACAGCTTTTCGTTCCAAAATGGAACTTGTTGTATTGTATCAGTATTAGTATGATCTAACCAAAACTTACTTACTGCAAGCATCAAGAAAGAAGAAGCTGTTGTTTGTACGTAAAAAGAGCCCGCTGTATATTAAGTAAACAAAACCTTGAATCGTAAACAATGCATTCCTCAACAACTCAGTTAGCTGTCGATACGTTCATTAGCATATTCCAGACCCATCCATAATGGTCATCGTGTATTTATGAAATTGGAGAATGTCAAACAAAAAAGAGGTTTGTTAATTACTTTTTATGTAAACAGAGTGTTTAATTGTTGTATTGAAGTGGTACATTTGATGGATCACTGTACAAGTGCTATGACGTAGCGTCGGGGAAAAATGTATTAGCTTCCTACGTAGGGGTGTTCTATTTTTTATAATTAGTTTAGCTACTAATGTCTATGTTTGTATAGGTTTGTACGAAAATAAAAACTATTTTAAATTTTATAAGATTGGCTATTTTTCCTTGAAAGGTTAGATGGAGTGTAAAACGTATATGCTAGGTATATCTATATTATCTGAAGCCGTTTTCTTGTGCATGTGGTGTTAACCTTTAATTAATTGTTGCACTTGTAAATGTTACACCAATCATTAGCTAACAATAAATGTATAAGTGTAAACAATTGTTGGTTAACCTAAATAAAATATCTGATTTTCAATAAGTCTTTACGTAGGTAAGTTTATATTATATTATAGATTTAACATTGAAATTGAACTAAAAAACGTTTATGAAAATACCTTTGTCAATATTACCTATAGGAAATACAATTTCAATTAGCTACCTACACAAATATTTTCCCTCCTGACTTGGTTCATCGAACAACGAAAACTATAACCATAATATTTAACAATTTTTACTGTAAGCCAGTAAGTAGGATAAAATAGTATTTTATACATACTTATAAAAAGCTATAAGCAGATAAGGTAAGAAAAATACTGAAAGCTTCTTTACGCTGAACGCTTCCTTATAAAATTCAATCTACAGGTGTTCATACGAGTGCGCGGTCAATAGGGGAAATCTCTCGGTAATAATGGGTAACACTTGTGGAACGTAGGTACTCCATACTTCGAATAATATGAGTCATATTAAAATATATTATTATATGTCTGCTTTAACAATTTATTAAGGTATTTAGCAGTGTAAGTACCTTTTCCTTATTTCGTGCGTTAGTTTTTATTTTATTTATTTGATTGTTGTTCTCTCTTAATCTAAGTATACACCGTTATCTCATCATCAGTATGTCGGTCAAAGTGTAGATTCCTGTTTACTACAGACAGACCTATAATCAATCGGAACCGGTGTTTCTAAGACTTTGTTTTAATGTGATAGGATGAATCTGAAGCTGGCAGATTACCTGATGGTAAAAGATGAGAGTCGCCCATGTACAATAGCAACACCAGAAGTTTTTGGGGACAAGTATTTTGGAGATGTAGGGATTAGGGCGGGTTTGAGGATAGGAAGGATGGTCCTCCGGTAACCTTACTTACACGGCGAAACACAGTGCTGTGATTGTTTCACGCCTGTTTTCTGTGAGGCCGTGGTATTACTTTGGTCGAGCCGGCCCACCCGTGCCAAACGAACACCTACGCTCAAAGATATCTGTCGAGTCCAAAGGCGACGCAGATTTTAGAAAAAACTATGATATTACTATAGACACATAAATAAAAGGCCCAAAACCTCGTTGGCGGTATTAAACTCACGTCAAATTCTTGGTACTTTTGACAGTATTACCAATATTATCTTTAAAAACATGACATTATGACGCACCTTAATTCCTAGACTAGGTGTAAAGTACACCTACATAATATAGTTGTCATACATGTAGTAGACACCTAATTATGTCTCAGATTCTATGCGTGCAGCGATTAAAAACTTTTTTTTTTATGGAATTGTTACTCCATAAAAGATATAAATAGTTTTTACTAACAATTCGAACAATAGATTATCATTTTTATAGAAGTTAGAATGCGATACAAAAACAATATAAGTATTAAAGAGATTTCGTGGAAAGTACTCTAGTTTCTATTTTTCTATAACAATAACGATTAGGTGAGGCCGTACATTGGGGAATTGCCTGTTTTATTGAAAAAGACATTCTGTTACTTTTTTGTTTATTTTTCTTGTTGCTATTAGGTAAATATTAATTTTATTATATTGTTAAATAGTTTTCTTTTAGTGTTCATATTTTTAGCTGATACTCTATTTTGCATTATACCTCGTTGTTACAAGTAGAGGGCTTAGGTACCTACACAGCCGCCAATTACAGGTGAACAAACATTCATTAGGTATAAGTGGTTGCTTAAACTAAATAAATCTACTTAAATGAAGTAAACTAAATACAAACAGAAAACAGTGTTTCAACAAGGTCAAAACTTTTACAAATTTGTTTTTCGAAACGGCTCAGATTCGTCACTATCCTTTTACTACCAAAATACCACAGGTTTTCCTTGTCCTTTTTCCTGTAATTTATTCTGAAACTCTAGAGATAACAGCGGGAAGGAGAAGTACTTCTATTTTTTACTAGTTTATTTATTTGTATCAATGCTACAGCGTTATAAAGGGCTAGCAGATTGCTGGACACCAACCACAATATCATTCCATGTAACTTTACTAAGAACTTTGTTTGGGTAAACTTTGACAAAATAGAATCCACTGTCTGAAAAGTTGTAAAGAAATCAAACAACAAGTTACTCAGCTACAAATTTGTCAAAACCAAAATGAATTTAAAAAAGGTTTAATAAAAACATACACGTACGACAGAGATTACGTTTCGTAAAAATAATTTCACGCAAAATTCTTGCGTTTAAAAGTTACTAAGTTAGTATTAAGTTGGAAAAAAGTTGCGGTGGCGTGAAGTTTTACGCTTGAAGGCTGTAGCGCGCGCCTCGTCCCGCCCTGAGGCGGGCGGTGGGCGGGGCGGACACCTATATAAGCTTTTGCATGCCTGAAACTTTGTTATTGAATGCGCGCGATCATTTCGAAAACGTGATTCGAAGTATCCTCTAGTGACGAGCCGACGTTCCTGTTCCCGACACAACTCAGGTACGTGCCACATTGCTCCATCGTGCAGAAAAATATTCATAGAATTGTATTACTTAAATATCACGTATTTTATTCAGGGAATAATATGTATGTTAATATTTTTCGAATTATTTCTGAGTCACTTTTTGGGTTGTTCAATATTTATTACATCCAGAGAATTTTGCTAGGAATATTCTCTGGTTGGATAAATTAAAAAAATAAATTATAAAAGTCCAATTAAAGAAAAAAGAATTAACAAATGCGCACAAATAGAGAAAACCGCTAAGAAAACTTTTTATAAGTTCTCACAAAATAATACTTACAAGTACAAATATTTATGAAACTTCTACAAAACTTTTAAAATACAATAATATCAGTGAAAGAGTTTCAAGTCGAGGTCAGAGGTACCAATAAATTTTTCCTGTGGCGTCCAAAATGTAACTGTTAATAAATATAAGAATTATAAATGACTAAGTAGTTCAGAAATTATTCTGATACTAAGTACCTACATCACAGGAACATTATCATCAATTTAAAATAAAGGGCGTAATATGTAACTTTAGAACATAGCTATAAAACTAAGTTCTAGTGGTGTCTACTTTTACTAAGTACGAGTAGATAATTTCGTTAAAATTTAAGTAAGAAAGAAAGAAAGAAAGAAAAAGTATTTATTTGCGTCTACTGTAACAGCCATTTCGAAAGTAACAAGCATCGTGTTTCAGTGGCTTTTTTATTTAAGAAATTGATAATGACAACCGTGTAAATGAATACTTAGTTATTTAGTAGAAAAGGACTCACGACCTTTTTTTAACTTTAATCTTATTTATTTTCCGTTCTACGAAGTATAATGCTGGATATCAATGTCAACTGGGAATTCGCTGTTTCACTATGTAGACTGATGTTATTATCAGAAAACGTATTATAATTTCATTCCCAGAACCTATGTAGCTTGATATGATAGCTGAAGTTTGTATCAAGATGTCACTGCTTCGCTATAAAACTATTGAAACATATCTCACAACTTTGTCATTTATTTGACTAAAACAAATCTATAAGTAAAATTAAATTATCAGTAAAAATATTTGAAGATCATAGTACAACATAGATATTTCGTGGTACTTACTGTGTGAGTAATTTACTGGGAATTATAACTTTAATCCCAACATGATGATAAGAAGAACGCTGCCAAGCAAATAAAAGTTTGTAGTCAGCTCCACATAATCCCTTGATACCTTCTAAATTCATTCTTAAAAAGCAACTCTCTACAGACAAACAGCAAATGTCACAGATCATCTGTCTTTTAAATTTAAGTTTTTATAACACAAAGGTACAAAGTAATTTCGTAAACTATCTAAATTTAAGCAACAAAAATATCATCGGGTAATTCATTCCCAAAGGGATAAGCAGCGGTCTATAATACACCCACTTCTTCTAATATGAATTTGTCTGTCTTTAACAGGAGGTGAGGCTATCTCATACATTATTACATGACTCGGTACTGTTAAATATAAATACTTTTTTAACAATGCAATAGGTATTTGAAGTAAAAACAAATTGTACCAAAAAGGATTATTCCGCCCATATTTTTTTGTGGTTTTAAAATTTGTTTTTATTAATTAACCGACTTCAAAAAAGGAGGAGATTCTTAATTCGACGCGTATTTTTTAGTATCCATTTCCGTAAACTATTTGCAAGTATAGTAATATTAGAAGATTATTTTAAAATAAATTGCTACTTTAAATACTTATTGCTTGTCATCAATTTAAAGATATACTTATGTTTAAGTAACAGTACGATAAGACTTTCGCTTCAAAGACACAGATAACAAAAACTAATCACCGAATTCAATCGAACCAATCGAACCCACTTATTTTCAATTTTTCTTTTTCTTTTATCTATAAAAATATTCACTCGAGGAAAATAACTTTCCGGTATTCTAAACACAAATGTTTTGATATTATTTCCCTTACAATGAAGACTTTGAGGTCACATAAAATGTTAAAGTATAAATAAATTTTCATAAACATTCTTCTACTCGATGGCGCCGATGGGTTTCAAATCAAATGAGGCCATACAATGGGGTATTGTTCCAGTGTCTTTCTCAATACAATGCCACGAATAGGATGAGTTAAATATACAAAAAAAAAAACGAATAAAACATAAATATCATAAGTTCATCTTCCAACCTTATTGTATAAAGAGACTGTTATTAGAGATAATATGTATAAGAATATATATTTACAATCTAATTTTCATGTCAACATAAAACGTATGACGTATGTATGTCGTCTCATTAATTAATCTCCCGCCATTACAAAGACGGTTTCACACAAGTCACGGCTCACTATTAAAGCCAGACTTTGCTTACATATCGTCTTTGAAAGAATCAAAGATAAAAAATACTTTTTCGACTTGAAATTTTCTCCCATATTATGAAGAAAAGCTAAGAATGGTTGTAAAATATACCTACTGTTTTTTTTCATGACGAATATTCGGTACTTACCGAAATAAACAGTGTGCTGTTATATTTTCAATAACATAATCCCATTAAAATAAATCCAAAATGCGAGGAACGTCAATTGAAGCTTAAGAGGGAATCGTACGTCGCAATCACGAGTAAAGAGGTTTAATACCACCGTTCATTTAAAAAGAACGAGTTATTCAAGCGTGGAACACATTTATCAAAAAATTGAGACATAATAAACAAACTGTCGAAGAAATTTTACATTGAAAACGTTTCATTATTAATCTTTGATTGATTGATTGTGAATTCTCGGATATTGAGATAAAAAAGGAGTGGCTTAAATGGAAAATAGAAATTACTTAGGTACACTATCTACTCGAGTTATGTAAAAGTCTTTAATCGAAATGGTGCAAAGGAACAACAAATTAAAAATACCAATAAAACCAACGTAAGTTCAACTTTTTATGTTTTTAAAACTAGTACCCTTGGCCATTTATAAGCAAACAACATCGTGAAAAAATTAAGCAGTTTTAAAAAATATAATATTTTTCGTTAAAAGATCTTTATTTTAGACAAACCTAGATACAACATCTTCAGTAATGAAACTTAATAGATACGAGTACTACTAATATTCGTAATCTTAGCCACGCTGACATTAGCACGAATTAATATTTAAATATTCGTGCAAATCGTTAGATAAGACTAAGTGGCCATCTTAGCAAATATCATCTACTTTGTGATTATAGTACCTACTTATGTAGGCCTACTTATTTTCCCTAAAATAGGAAACTTCCTAATTTAAAAGGTGTATAATTATTTTTTATTATATTATTTTTCGTACTGTTTAATGTTTTATAAAATAATATTTTCTAGAAAGCAAGACGGAATATATTTTAAAGTTGAATTCTTAGTTCTATGAAAAGGAAGATATTTAGTTGGCGGCTATGAGAACTTAGTACAAGTTTATTATTGCTAGGCGTCAGGTTACTTTAAAAAATGTTTAGTAAAGGATTGTATTACGTTCACAAGATTATGTTAGGGAAAATAATTATGAAGGTAACGTGTAAAAGACAACAGTTTCAGCATGCTTCTAAGCATTTGAAAATTAGTTTTGGAGCTTATTATTTTATTGCTGAAGTGATCGGAATCATGCTCACTAAACAAAAAGGTGTGATTTAGATTTTAAGATCAGCTAAAGTATCAGTATAGCTAATTATATAGTTGTAGAAATAAACCCTTTGGAAAATAAAAGCGATAATGTTATGTTTTTGGATTGGGTGAGTGAGTTTCCTTAATTATCTACCGGTTAAACCTACGCTCATTCATACAGAAGCTTCAATATAGGGTAAAAATAGCTCCATACATTTCTAAAACAGGGATTTGTGTTATAAGTATAAATAAACCAAAGTAGTACGATACATGTAAATAACATATTGTCTATTATATTATTTGAAGCTGAATACTAAAATGAATAAAAAATCCAGTAATGTAGCGCAAAAATAATTTATGTTGCACTTTTAATTTTTTCTTCACTTATTGGCCTTCAAAGTGTACGTATTAATACGATACACCCTGAAAATAACAAAAAGCCGTGACGCCATTTATTTTTTGTCACTTGACACTTAAGTACTCACAGTGACATTCAAAAGTTTTCATCCATCCATGTGTTGGCGCGAATTTCGAGAAGCTACCCACGAAATGAGTCGGCAAGGTCGTTGTAGGGAATAATTAAACGTCCGGATAAAGAGTTGCAAAAAGTACCTGACTCAGCTAATTATTTTCTCTTAAATAAATTAAGCATATTTGTTTTGTTTTCTCTTTTCATTTTCTCTTCAGTGTAAAGGTGTTAACGCGTTGATGAATACTAATTTGGTTGCTGAGTAATTTTAAAGTACCCTACTGATAGATGTCGTGCTATGTATTTTAATAACGAATAAAAAGTTACTTAGTTCTTGGAATGTCTATTTTTCTCAGTTATTAAATCCTTACGTAACACTTTGTAGGTACTTCTAGACGGAATAATAAATATATGTCGCATAGATCACGTTTGAACATATTGCTATTCATTGGGCACAATTCCTGGCTCACAATTTGGATTACGTTGTACGAACTACGAACCCAGTCACGCTTGGCACAAACAATTCAACTCGAACCCTATTACAGACGTAACCTTAAAGGGACCTTAACATTGAAATATAAAAGTAGTTTCAAATATGTTTTTCTAACGGTCAATAAAAGAAAATTAATAGAAAAACTAAACACATTAGTATTTTCAACACGCCACTAACTTTGCACTTATCACTATAATTGTTTGCAATTAAAAACTTACTCGACCCAATCTTTTTGTTAAACAGTTACAAACAATAACACTTAGGAAATCATTACGAGGCGGTTCTAACACTTTCAATTGGGGCGGGAAACACGGAAACTTGTACCCACGGTATAATAGAAATAGAGTAAACTTTACTTTGTAAACGAATCAAATTAATGTCACTAACGTATTTGGTAAACTTGTTTAAACTTTTCGTTTAACTTGTCCCGTGGAGTCGTCGATTCG